AGGCAACCAGTGTTGGTGAGAAGAACGTGCTTATTTTTTATCTTGGAGGTGGTACTTTTGATGTCTCTCTTCTTACCATTGAGGAAGGTATCTTTGAGGTGAAGGCAATTGCTGGAGACACTCACCTTGGAGGAGAGGACTTCGATAACAGAATGGTGAATCATTTTGGAACATCTTTTTATTTAGGTAGTGATGTATTACCTTTTAATGTTCAAGTGTATGGATTTAAAAATTTGTAATGAAATTATCATTTTTTATGCAATTTTAAAATTTGTTCAGAATGAGTATTTTCAATTTTGCCGGTCAATTTACTTTCGCAACGTTTAGGTTCTTTGGCAACGTTTAGAAAACGTTGCCGTAGGTCTACGACAACGTTTAAACCGTCGGTCTTTGGCAACGTTTAAAAAACATTGTCGTATCTTTCTATTCTACGACAACACCTTAATTTGCAACACACGTCCAAACGTTGACGTAGGCCTACGGCAACGTTTTACAATTCAAAGAAGAAGTAATGGAAAAATACCTCCCACAAGCCTTGAGAGATTGAAAGGAGATAGTGTTTCTTCAACTTAAACACGGAAAGTCGAAGATCGACGAATATGAGAGAAAGTTTAAAAAAACCCTCTAGGTACGCATTGCACCTAGTAGACATGGAGGCAAAGAAAGCAAGGAGGTTCGAACTGAGACTTCGTCCGAAGATTGTCGAATAATGGCATCCCAACAATTCACCACATACAGTTGGGTTTTGCAAACTACCCTGACAATCTGAAATAGATTAGAGATTGACCAAACTTTTCAACAAGATACCGAGTATATTGAAAGACAAAAATGGAATGGGTCCAATGAAGAAAGGAGATGGACAAAAGAAGAAAATTAACATTGGATCAAAATAGGACAAGCCCTCTAAGATAATGAGCAAGAAAAGAAAGAGAAGGCTAGAATTTTTTCTTTAACTTAGGATTGGGCGAAGGATCCGAGTGCAGGTAATTTCGAGGAAGAAATTCCTTTTATGGATGGGAGATTGTAAAACCCCGAAAATTTTTAGAATAGAATAATTTTGCTATTAATTTTTTTTTTAATTTTCGAAGTTAAAGGACTGAAGCAAAATAGGTTTTAATTCTTTTTTTTTTTTCCTTTGGCCAAATAATTAGATTTGATAAAGCGAGTTTTAATATATCAATATTGGGCTCGTTGAGTAGTTTGTATTAAATGGCGCACCATGGACTCGAGAAAAAGTTAATTCACATAAGTTAGAAGTTCAAGTTATTGAAATCCGAAGAAGTTATCTTTAATTGGTAAATAATTAAACTTTGTTTATGAGTTTAGCTTTATGATAACGATGATTTCACGTTTATAATATATGAAAATCTTATTTTGATTATGATAAATGTTAATTGTTAATTATAATTATATTTTGGTATATTTCAAACTCCACTTATTGTTTATCCAATTTAAAATTATTATCTCCACTTTCATTAAGTATTCTATTTGTCAAATTCTCGACCAGATGGTATGAGTAGAAATGGTTGACTATTGTGATTAGGATACTTTTAATTAAGCAAAATCCTAATGAAGCTAATCCAGATTTATTATATAAAAATATCAAGAAATTCCCATCTCCAAGCCATGGCATTAGTGTTTAGGATTCTTTTACCAAAATTCTTTTCATCTTCTGAAGATTCTACAGAATTGAGATAAAATTTTATAAATCATTCTTATCCTTTTTTTTTTGCTTGTGGGACATGGTTCTTCAATCCTAAGTACACTAGAATCTAATTGTATATACTGATTTGTCCTATATATATATACCCTCATGAAGTCAGGGTAACTCATCACTGAGAACAAGAACACGACCTGAGAGAGGTTAGAATTATTACCATAGAAATTATACATACACACACGACAGAGAGAGATAAATTACTTTTCTCGAGGGAGAAAGCAAGCTGATTTTATTACTTAGAAGCAGTCGAGAAATTTAGAAGTTTGGAAAGTGCATTCATATTTCTTCCAAAAATTCATTTAATATTGAGGTAAGATACATATCGTGCAAGTGATTCAATGATTTATGCATGAATTGCCCGTGCATCTTAGGGTTCAGCTTAACGAAATGTGAACTCTATTAGGTTTTTTACAACGAAATGTGTAACCGCTCAAGAGTTCAAAATGACTACAAGATATGTGTCTCGTTTGATTACCGATATACTCCAAATGAAATGTGGTATGAAGTGTCTATTTTATTATTATATAATTGTGTATGAAAACTACACGTATCTTACCGGATATTTTTGAATACTCACTCTTACAATAATTTACACATTAGGTTTGGTCTATTGAAACTGTGGAGGGATGGTGATGCAGGTTGTCAAGAGGATTTGAGACAATAAACTTTAAGTTTTTCTTTCTTTTAAATTAGTTGTTTAGTTTTAACTGCGTTCAAAGAAATGTTTATATAATAGTTGGCCGATTAAGTTTCTTTTGAACAGATACAATTTTCATATTTTGGGTTTCTTTATTGACACCATTTATGTTTTTAAAATAAAGGATTAAATTTTTATTGTTTCCACTTTTAACGTGAAGAAAATTGAATTTTTAGTAACACCCTAGGGTTTACGAAAATTGAGGTGTTACAACATTAGCTTGTTGAGAGCATAAATGTTGGCTGCCACTACAACAGCAGCCTAATTTCATGAACTATGGTGAGCTTCGACCGGCTCTTTGGTAAGGCCTAAAATATCTAATATTTGGAATGTGAGGCCGGTAAAGCGGGAGAGACTTTTTTTTTTTTTTGTGACGAACATATGAAATGGCTGGATTTTTAGCAAAGATTGGATTCCTATTTAGAATTCATTGATAAATATTTGAGAGCGCTAAAACTTGTTGGTTGAATTGTGAACAACCTTATAATCCACATCAAGTTGCTATTAAATTTAGACTCGTTAAGAACTCCGGGGATGGTTTCAGGGACAATAGACATCATATATATAGAAAAAAAAAATCCTCTTCCACCGCTCTAATAATGTACATGTCCTCCTCCTCAGCTCTAATAATTTATTATGATAGAAAAAAGTTTACAAAAAAAAAATCACACACTTATCTTCTGTAACCTCTAATTCTTGATGGTGATATAAGAGTCTAATGGCGGTTTTAATTTATTAGATAAATTAGGGCAAAATTAAAATTTACAATAATTATGCTCCAAAACTTAACATCTTTATTTTATTATTGTGCAAAACAAGAAACATGCCCACACTGGAGCTCTGGTGTAACATCTGATGCTTTATTTTTTTATACTTCTACTTCATTTAATTGGAGTAAAAAAAAATGTAACTTGTCTATGGACTAAATCTGCAATATCTATTCATAATTCGCATTAGGTTTCTTTTAGCAATAATTAAAAGTAAAGGTTTTTGTTTGATTTGCTTTATTAAATATTAGAGTTTCTAAATTTTCATCATTCAAATTGGTATTAGAATCAATAATTTACTGATCAAACTCAAATATTAGACATTCTTTGACGAAGCAACAACTTCAATTTCCTAAATTCGTGACTATTTTAAAATCAATGTGTGTTAGACTTGTTAACGACAAGGAAAATCAATAAGCAAAGACACGAAGAATTAGAAACATGTCAACAAGCCTGTGAATAAAATAATCAGAAACCTAATGTCTGGCTTTTAGAGAATTTAATAAGATGCTGATATTAAGTATTCACACTTGATCTTAAATTTTGTATTTCTGTCATTTTCTTAAAAAAAAAAAAAGAAAGAAATTAAGAAATTAAGGTTTCTGTATTTTCTAGTTAATTATAACTGTATTTTCAGAAATTAATGTTTTTCTGAAACTTTAATTCTCAAGTTCATTTATTTTACATGTTTAAACAAGAATTTAATTTGAACTCCTCTACGAATTTCTCTTTTGAAAGCCTTATTTATTATTATAACTTGACTATTGTGTGATACACATGTTATACATGTATGCATGCATTATATTACCATAACATTAGCTTGTTGAGAACATCGATACTAAGATGGAGGATTTTGACAGCTTTTCAACCTTTAATGTTTGGTCCCAACTGTGTTCAAGTGTGGGCTTGGGAAAGTCTGCCGCCACTGCATCCATATCCTGATTTCATGAACTGTGGTGAGTTTTGACTGGATCATTGGAAATGGCTGTGGATAATTGGTCCATTTCTAAACTATACAATGAAAAAGAGAAGTGGGTTGTTGGAAAAGATTGGATCCTTAATTTGAAACCTCTGATAAATGTTTGAGAGCATGTAAATTTGTTGGATGGATTGTGAACAACGTTATAATTCCCTCGAGTAGCTATAAAAATTAGAGTCGATCAAGAACTTTGGGGATGGGTTTTGGGACAACAAAAATCATGTATGGCCTGGTTTTCAGGCCATTGAGTGATGACGATTTGCTATATCTTCCGCCAAGACTTTTGGAGATGGATGTGATCACGCGGTATCTGAAATAGAGGAGGAAAATTTACTATTTCCGGTGCATGACTTTAAACGTATGGTGGAATGATACACTAGTTCTTGGGTACCACATATTCATCAAGACAAGTGGAAGCAACTGGAAACAGGTAATTCTCCTTTGGCATAGTTGGTACCTTGTATCAATTTCTGGTGCCATGAGGGAATGTGTGACAAAATTAAGCATTTTCCAGCTGCTTTATTATAAAGTGTTTCGCCTATGATTAGAACGGTAGGATGAAGTCGCTGGTAAAACTAGAAGACAGATTAACAAAATACAAGCAATGATACTGATGTTTCTGCCGGTTTTCTACCCAAACCCCTAGAAGCAAAACAAGTAAGTGTTTGATTTTGTCCAAGCAAG